ATGAATATACCACAGCTTCTCTATCCATTTGTTTGTTGATGGGCACTTAGGTTGTTTCCAACTCCTTGCTATTGTGAACAAAGCTGTGATAAACATGGGTGTGCATATATCTGCTTGGGTGGCAGTTATGGCCTCTTTGGGGTAAAAATGATATCTTTCTTGAATGAAGAGAAGATATAACCAAAATTTATTATCAATTCGAAGTTAGTTATATGATTCTTATTTTCGAAGTTAGTTATATGATTCTTATTTTCTTAACATTCCTTGGGCATTGACAGTAAACATGCTTTGTGGTTGTTTTATAGCTCTATTTTGCTCCTGAAATGAATATCCCTCTGATTTTTATTTATTTACCATTAGATTAGCCCTGTGTACTCCACTGTCTCGTCTGAAACAAGAAGTTGCAACATTCAGTCAAAGGGCCATATCTGATACCTTGGTAACAATTAATCGGATGGAACAGGCACGCACAGAATACAGAGGAGCTCTGCTGTGGATGAAAGATGTGTCCCAAGAACTAGACCCAGACACCTTAAAACAAATGGAAAAGTTCAGAAAAGTATGAGAATATATTTTCTTTTCTTGATACCTAAACCACTGGAACTGCTAAAAAATAATTTTATTAAGAGCATACATGACAAACATCTTAGAAAAGAAATACTAGATCATAGTATCTTGGTTGCTCCAAGACTGTAGTTCAAGGACCAAGTGCTGCCACATATTTTTACTCTTTTTCTCACTGCTAGCAATCTCTTTTATCAGTCTGTTTTTGTCCTTTTCCTAAAAGATCTGACTACTCTTAAAATAGCACTTACCTAGAATTTTGAGATTTGTTTGCAAAAATAAAATAATTTATTACTGGGGGACATTTGTAAGCCTAGTTTAATATAAACTAGTTATCAATTTTAAGAAAAAGTGGACATTAATAATTTTATTATATCTGCCACTGCATGTTTTACTAGAAATTTTTAAAGCAGCTCTCTCTTTATGGATAAATTTGTGTGAAGTAAATTCCTTATTACACAATATATCCCTTTAATTTAGCATACATAACTAATAAAATCCATTCATACCTTCAATTACTAAATATTTCAAGTATCTAAATTAAAAAAATATTTATTAACGAAGACTTAACTCAGTGTCCTCATTCTATGTGACCGCATTGATTATTCCCAAAAATCCCTGTGAGGTAGTTGAACATATGGCCTCGGTGCACACCAGCCTCTGTATTCCATCATTTTCATAGTTCTTGACAATTGTTGTTGTTGTTGTTGTTATGTGCCGTCGAGTCGCTTGCGACTCATAGTGACCCTATGTACAACTGCGCTAAATTCTGCTCTGTCCTGTGCCAATCTCACTGTCTCTGACACTCCCATCCCTATTTTCCCAGTCACTGAATCAATCCACCTCATAGAGGGCCTTCCCC